GAGTTGTATTTACAGCATTAAAGCAAGATAATACTTCATGAATGAACTATATATTAATAATAATAATTACCTTGAAGCATATTTTGAAAACTGCTAAAGTTCCTGGATAATGGTTGAATATCTTATGTTTTCCTGATTCATAAATTTCATCTATACTATTTCACAATCTATTCTAGAATTTTATGGTGTTTGTTATTATTTAATTTCAATTGAGACTAATTCAAAATAAATGAAGTAAGAAAATGCAATGAAAATACCATGAAACAGTAAAATTGGGTATTCATTTAATATTAGATTATTATCTTCAATTTTATTCTCATTTTGAGAATAAGAGATATTTTCTTATGAAACTGAATTATAGGGAGATTAAATTAAAAATATACTTCCTAATTGTTGGCATTTACAAGATATTTATACAGTTTTATTATCAATTTCTTCAGTTGATAATTCACATTTATAGAAATTTCCATCCTTATTGATATTAAAACAATCATATGAATAGAGTTTTTCTTAAGAAACTTGTTCTTAGCAATATGGAGTTTAAAGCATGTCCATTATATATTATCTAGGTGCAGATTGATAATCAATATAACGATCATTATAAAGATGATTCTTTAAAGTAGCTTTCTTCAAGGTCTTTTCATTTATTTCGAGAATAGTTAAATTAAAGAATTTTTGCAATTAGGATTATAACTTTTGAGATAAATTTAAATAGTTGTAATTTAATTCTATTTGTTCTTTCTAAACAAAATCAATTAATCCATCTAATAAATCTCTTTCAATATTAAATTGTTTATTTATCATTTCTTTTGTATTTTTGGATAATTACCATATTAGAATTAGTCCATTATTACTTAATTGAAACCCATTAACCTTTGCTTGAATATTAAGATGCTTTGCAATCTTTTCAATCAGACTTATTAATCCTTCTGCTACATTAATAATCTAATCTTTATCTTAATTGGAAGTAATAGTGGCTTTTGGGATTTTAAGGAAGATATCATCAGTTAAATACAATATAGCTGATAAAGAGTTTATAATAGCTTATTTTTTTTAATACAATTTTTCATCCAAGAACACATCTTTTTGGAGAATTTATTCATTAAAATCTGCAAGCTTTTTTATCATTTTCTGAGTGATTGACATAATTTATTTTAGTTCTTCTAGCAAACTAGGTGGAGTGACAGTTAATGAAATATTAACATTTGTAATGTTGACATAAAAGGTTTTTGTGAAATTTTCAAAACAACTGTTTAAATTTTCATTTTATAATCTAGAAGAAGAGTACGAATCTTTATTTTGAATTATTCTTTTATACAATTTAATAGTTTGATATACTAACAATTGATCATCAATATTATCAGCTCTCAAATAGGTTTGTATATTTGTATATAACTAATTAGACAAAGCAATACAATTTAATCGTCGTAATGATTCAATACAATTTCTAATAATAATGAAATTTAGAAATTTAAATTCTATTACTGAATTTTGTTCTAGGAACAATTGAGCACAGTCTTTGTTACATTTAGCTATTTTTCAATATTTAAGTAAGATCCTTTTGAATCCATTGCCTAAATTAGAAGAATGCCATCAGAGAATGGAAGAGTGACTTATACAGTATAAGAACTTGAATAACTGCTCAAGATTAATGAATAATCAGTTGTTCTATTCAGAAAATCAATTAAATCTTATTTTTAAAGAAAATATCTCAATTGGTAAGTAAAAGGAGCTGATTCAGAAAAATGGCAAACTGTAATTACCTTTTAGGGTTTAAAAGCTTAAACTGTTTAGTCACTTAAACTGACTAAACATGTAGGAGGCTAATTAACATTTATTTATAAATCTTCTTGACTAGGTATTATTTCATTTGTAAATTAAGCCAAAAAGTTCAGATTTGTTTTATCTCCTTTTGTAAATTCCTAAAATTAGTCAAACATACGAAATTCTTATTAAAAGTATTCAGATAATAATATCTATACAAGTTTGAAGTTATAAATAATAGCTACTTGATAATCGACAAGATACTGCCTATCTTCAAAAGGAATAGTAAAAGTGAACTCCAAATTTTCAAAGTTATTTATTGCCCTCATTAAATACCCTTTACTATAAGTTACATTCAATAATTTAAAATCATTATCTAAATAGACAATATTTTATTTAAACATATCTGAGTATTAGTTTTTTGAAGCCACTACTGACCAACTTTAAATAGTGTAAGGTTTGATAGTTTATTTGGGAATTACTTGGACACTTTCAGTTTTATTGATTTAGATTAATTTTTGATTTAAATTCTTACAAAGTGAATTCATAGTCAGGTCAGCACATTCAACATTTATTGAAATACCAGGATCCTCATTCCAGTCATATTGAGTATCAAAATCTTTACATGATATGTATATATGAGTTTCTTTTCTATAATTCTGAAACTTTTTAGTGCCTTAAAATTAACAAAGTATACCTCCAGAGGTAATGTCAATTGTAATGTTTCTTTTAATTGAAAAATTAAGTAAAGCATCAAGGGTTGTTTATTCGAAAGTGTATGCAGTTCTAGAAGTTAAGGTATAATTTAAAATAGTAACACTAAAACTGCTTTGATTTGTGATTTCTGAATAATTTACTCTTGATGATTTTGAATTGGAATCGTTTCTATAAACTTCCACTAAGGACATAGTATATTTAGAATGATCACCTTATGTTGCTACTGTCTATTCAGAACAACCCTTTTTATTAATTTTAAATTCCAAAACAATAGTTTCATAATTAAAATACATGGGTTTTGAAACCCCAAGAATGGTGGGAAATTGACCAGAATGGGTTTCCAATTTAATTTTTTGTATACTTTTTTAGGCAACAAAATTTTGAAAGTCTAAAAAGAATGTAATTTTGGACTGATTAGGCAGAGTTTAAAATGGGATAACTAATTCTAAAATCTATAATTTAGTTAATAAAGCAACAAAATTGTCAAGGTCACCATTTCAATTAGATCCATCTACCGAATAGGTCCATTTTATTTCAATGAAATCTCTAAATCCATCATTCATTTTTAATTTCAAGGATATTGTATTATCATCGCAAGGATTTATAATTGAAGTTGGTAAATCATATAATATAATTGGAGAGACTGGGTTTAAGGGACTTTTAATATAATTGAAGATAAACACATTTAACTTTTTATCGCATTCTTGATGACCGAAATTGCTATTATAAAATATAATCTTATCCCCTGGAATGAATTTGGGCTAATATCCTACCTTCAAAATTAATTTTGTATCATCAACAGGGTCAATATAACAACTAGGATTCTTACCAAGTAATTAATATGTTTGATTTTCTAATATTACGAAGCAGACATTATCTGAAAATTGAGTAGTAAAATATTATGGATTCATTAATTGTTAGATAAGACTCTCAAAATTTTGCAAGAAGTGCAATTAGTAATTGAATTTTGGCATGTATAACAAGTAATATCACAAGTTTAGCATAAGCCGGCAATTTCAGTAGTTTCAGGCATGCATATGCAGTTTTTAGTTTTGGTATCTAGTATTCTCATTAATGATTAATCGCATTCAACACAATTTCTAAAACTGATCTTACAATTTAAGCAATTTTGATCACATTTACTACATTTACCCAAATCATTAACAAAATAGCCTGTAATGCATGGACAATTATTTCCATCTAAATGTCAAGTAACTTCGCAAGATGTACAATAATCAGCATTGTTTTAACAAGTCAAACATTAACTCTAGCATTGATGACAATGAGGAGAAATTCCATCATCATAATATCCAGGTAAACATTGACATATTCCTTAATTAAATACTCTGAAGGAAGTTGACATTTCTATGCAAGATTGACAAAATTTATATCCAGAGGAATTACAAGTAAAACAAGAATAATGACATTTTGCACAAGTTTCCTCTCCAGCATCATAATAAGAATCCAAACAATTACAAGCTAGCATCTATAAATTTTATAATCTATTAGATGTAGATGAACATGAAATACATTTTGTAAAAGCAGAGCTGCATTAAAAACAAGAATAGTGACATTCTATTAATGATAGTAATCTAAATTACTTTAGCATTTAGAATTAGATCCGTTATCAAAATATCCCTCTTAACATAGACATTTCTAGTTGATAAGGATTCTAAAAGAGTTTTGATAACAAGATAGACATGTAGTCTCTACTCCTGCGCAAGTTTCACACCTATAATTGCATTCTAATATTTAGAACTAAAATCATACATTAACACTTTGGCTTGCCAATATTAAAATAATGAGGAGAACAAGGACAACTAGAATTTGATAAAACCCTCTTCTCACTAGCCAAGCATTGTGTACATTGATTAGATTTAGGCCCATTACAATTTAAGCAAGAATAATGGCAACCTATGTTAAATTAATATGATATAACTTTGACAGCGAACTCTGCCTAAAATTTAATAACTACTAATGGTAACTCCGTTTGACTTAGTTTTGCAAATACAAACATTTCCTTATAAGTATCTATCTGTTTTACAAGATAGGCAATTATCAGCAGTAGCTGTACAATCCAAGCAATACGCACTGCATGCTAACGATTATTTTGACCTATACCTGTACATTCAGGCCTTCCGGCATCATAGTATTTACTCATGCAAGAACAGGATCCTGAAGGATCCAATTTTCTCATAATTTAAGTATAACAGGATGTGCATTAATTTGATTTATCACCATTACACTTTTAGCAAGAGCTATGGCAAACTACTTTGAATCATATATATACCTAAGCAGATTGGATTGCCAGGTTGATCATATGTTTTGGCTGGGCAAGAACAAGAATTTTTATTTCCTAGATCCCTAAGAGAGAGAAGTGGACAAGATGTACAATTCTAAATTGTGCCACTGCAATTTGCACAACGATATGAGCAACCTGTGGTTTACTATAATTATTACTTTAACACATCGGGTCACCGATTGCTTTTTCAATATATGTATATTGACAGACACACCTATTAGTCTTAAATTCTCTATTATTACTAGAGGCACATGTTAGATAATTATTTAGAGCTGGACCAAAGCAGGTCATGCATGTATAATGGCAGGCTATAAAAAAAAAAAAGTACGGGAACATTTTCCTAATTCACAGAAAGGTGTTGTATTTTAGAAGGAGATGAATAAGATGATTAAAAACTACGCCAAATGAATATTATTCTAAATTCTGTATAAAATATAAGAGTCATGGATTTTTATTTCAAAAATAAGAGAAGTTGAAGTGCAACTTGTTATAATCTTGAACATGAATATTTGAATAAATAAATTCTATCTAAATGTTCCTTTAATATCACTTGTAGGAAGAATCTGACTATAAATTGAAAATATGCCTTTAATTTAATTTTTGTATGAGAAATCAACTACTTCTAGTAGTTAGATTGGAATATTTAGGAGAATATCGGCTAATAACTCTGTGATGAATTATTTGAAATGGATGATGAAAGTTTGAGTTTATTTTATATAGATAAAGTCAATTCAAAATAATATTCCTTGCATATTGAAAAATGTTGTTAGTTAGGCACTCTTTTTTATGACCAAATATCTCTTACAAATATATAGGGTCTGGTTATAGAATTTTCAAACTTTTGTTGAATTTGCCTGAAAATAATTTTAAATTTGCTTTTTTCTCATAAAGAATAAACACATCATATCATTTTTTTGTCTTCTCTATAATTTGCAAAAAAAATTACAAAATAATAAAATACTCAATCATTATGAAATATTTTATAAATTTATTTTCAAAATGAAAAAAAAGTAATTTTTTTTTATGAATAAACCATGATTAAATTGTAAATTAAACCTCAAAAATAAATTAGAATTAATCAATGATAACTTTTAAGTTGATTTTTGTTACGTTATCCATTACTTTAGCGATTTTTCTCAGACTTCAATTATTCTTGGGGAGCTTGCTTACTTTTGATTTTCCTTTCCTGTTCTCATAATCAATACCCACCTCAAAGGCCTCTTTTATTTAATCTATTAAATTTCTCTGTAACCCGATGTAGATAAAGTTCTCAATCCATCTTAAGATATATACATTTTTACAAATGATTACTATGGAGTTAAAAACGTTTGGTATTAACTTAGATAATCAATGATATATAGCCTCCTACTAGTGACAACCTAGAGTTTTTTAAATATTGTCAGATCAGAATTATTCTCTTTATGATTTACAAATCATCCTCCAAATTCGATAACATTTTAATATTTCTGCAATTATTTCATATAATATTTATTGGAATGCAGAACACAATTATTCGATAATTATTGTAGTTGACTCTAAAGTAAAAGAAAATCGTTATGTGTGTTGAAGTTTACAAAAATTACTTTTATTATCTATTCTAATAATTATTATTCATTTCCCTTTTCAATAAATCAGTTATTTGTTCATTTTAAACTCTTAGTTTTTCGTTAAATTTGAATATCATTAATCTAGTGCTAGGTAGACATCATTTTAAGTTCAAATTCCTTATTTTTGGGCAGAATAATTTGTGCAAATGAAGTATAAAAAGATCTGTTCCAGCAAATTTCAACCAAATTGAATTAAACTTAAAATCTTTCTAATTATAGCCCACACATTTGATAATGACTTGTTGTCATAAATTTTGTGATTTGCAATAGTTGTTTTAATTTAACGTTCTCATTAAAGTAGCTGAATAATTACAGCTATTTATTTTTGTCTGTGCTTAAAATTGAGATGTATAGAGCTCCAAGGAATTAATTTTTATGAATGAGCATTCTTCATCATCATAAAATTTAATGAAAAAATATTCTTTTTTATTGTATTTAATTTTATAACTACTGAACATAATGTTACAATTGATGAATCAAATATTTTTATTTTCATGATTTACTAGTGTAGTAATAGCTTTTACAAAGGCTATGAGGCTATCAAATTCCTTCCCTAGAATAGAATTATCTAGTTCTAATTATTGTAAGACAGAGCTTTGTTCTCTTCCTTGTACGGCTAAGCAAAGTTGATCTAAAGCTTATTTGAATTATGGACTTAAGAGATTTTCTCTAAAATATTGCATGCTTTGTTGATCAACTGGTAAATATCTAAGCTAACATTCTTTAATGTTCTTTCAAAGCTTCAAATAATCCTAGTCTTATATCACAGTAAAACGGAATTCACTAGTCAATATATTGCTTAATTATAGGCCTTAATTTGTATGTCTATATATATTGCTACTAAAATAATTCTAATAACTATTATTAATTAATATTAATTAAAGGATATCTTTATTAGGATTCTAAATAATTATTTTATGTAACAACAAATTCTGGCTGCTATTAATTTATTGAAGAATATGCCTCAAATTATATTAGATTGCCAATGATTTATGAATCAAGAACCATCTTGAACTAATGTATGAACGTTTCATCCTCACTAACATCATTATTCTTTTTAGAATATATTTTAGATTACTTGCATCCAAAAAAAATATTTTGAATCTTCATCTGTGATCTTCAGTAAATAAACTCTATGCTATCCCTTAACTTTCTCAAAATTGTAGTTCCTTTAAAGATAGCTCTTTCCCAAGTATTGTTTATTTAATTACAAATTCTAATCTACTATTTTGATCCAAATTATACCACTTGAGCCATAATTCATTTTCATCATTCAAATTTAAGTTTAACAATCCTTTGGTTTTTTGCATTACTACTGTTTTAGTTTCCTGATTAAATTCCACAAGGAATACTCATTTCCTAATTCATAATTGATTATAATATTTTAATCTAAATTGTTTTTATGATAAGAATGATAATTTTATATGAAATAATATCTATTAATAATAGGACAGATGATGAAACAATAATCAGAATAAAATAATACCATCATGAATTTTTGTGATTTTGAATTCTCAAAATACAAAGAGTATCAAGATAGTTTAGATTATTTTAAATCTTTATTCTGAATCTTCTTGTTTTAATTCTATACGAATTATCAGATTCAATTCAAAAATCTCTTTATTATCCTATGTATTAAAGTGTTTATTAAATAATCACTGTAGTTAAACTGTGATTGCTTTTTTTTCATATTTTAATTTGTTCTGACTAAATTACAATTATTTCTTATTTCCTTTAGCATTGCTATCTAAACTTGATATTTTTTTAGAAACATTAAATATATAGGCTAATTAAATCGCAGAGATTACAGTTATTCTCAAGTGCGATCATTTATATTTCAATATTTTAAATTAATTATTATAATTATCACAGAATTAAGAAAATAACTAAATATTATTAATAACTCTATTGGTTTACCAGAGTTATTTTATTTAAGAAAATAGTAGCAGATAATTGCATACCCTCCTAAATTTTTTTAATTAAATCAATTAAATTCCAAAATTAAATTAAATACAAAATTTGATAATTAATTAATTGATAATCAATTTTTATTCTTAAGAAAAATCTATCGTTTTACTACTAATGTTGTCTGCCTTCGTGTTTAATAATTAATTTGCTGATTATTTTAGTCCAGATTGATTAAATAAATTTTTTTTAATTTCTTGAAAACAACACTCCAACCTATATTAAATGTCAAGTACATTTTTTGTTATTGTGAAATTCTTATAGATGAGATTATATAGCATAATTTACAAATTAAGCAAATCTCACCATTATCATATTGTCATAATTAGTCATTGATTGGAATTAGCCAAAGCAATTATCGCCATATTGAGGTTAACTTTCACTGCATAATTTAGATAGACTTGCACAGTCTTGATTGAACTTATTATAACATAAGACGGTTGTTCAGATCTGATCGGTATTGATTGCTAGTTTTCAATATCTATTTTTAGAATAAATAATTAAAAAGGCAAATCACATATCAGATATTTTATTAATTAATATATTAATGATTAGGGTTTAACTGCTGCTAATTTTAGTAGGAATTATTATTGGATAGGTATAATTTAACATAATAGCTAGGCCAAAGAGTATTAATTACCACTTAAATTAAATATGACAGATGTAGGATGTGATTACATCGAACATTTTGAATTTACTCTGGCCGATAATACAGCCTAAGTGATTGGTTAGTTTAATTCTACAGGAGGATTTTATTAAGTATTGAATTGTATTATCGATTTAGCTAAGTGGCTTCAAAGATTATTAAGGTGTAGTGGATAACAAATTACATGCTTGTGATATACATTACACAACTTGGTAATATTCAATCAAACAAATGAGATTATACAGAAAGGCTCAAAACTTAATAATTGTTGAATAGGATGCATAATTGTAGAGTGCATAGAGTTAGGAACTGGAACTTTAATTAATATTTGAACAGACTCAATATGATTTGTAATCGAACTAAGAACTTGCTGATAGAAAAACAGCTATTGTTTCAGTGTTCTTTACTACTGGTTACTCAGGAATATAATCTCATTTACCTGATGGAATAGATATGCTTCTTCCATTTACATAAATTGTATATTGATTTTATTGATTTTAGAATCGTAAAAAGCCAACTTAATAATTTAATGTGGATTTAAATCCAGATCGATAATTGGATGCCATATAAAGATATTTCTTTTAGTATATGACTTTTGTTGGTAAGGACGGAGATAAACTGTAAAACATGTACTTTAACAGAAAAAAATTTTACATTCCTTAATCATTTGTAGATACATTCTTTGGTACCTCACAAGAATACTAAACTATCCCAAATTCAAATCCAACCGCTGTCTCATAAGATGAAATGGATGAAGAGATGGTAAAGATATGTTATGGAACTTTGGAAGAAACTGTTTTAAGATAGAATTACGCTGTTTGGCTTTGGATTGTCGGATTATTAGTGTGGTGGATTGTTATGGTTTGCACTGAAAACGATACAGAATCAGTATTTTTGGAAGAATACAAAGATAACAGATTAACTATGATTCCTTTGTACAGTATGTACAAATTAAACAATGATATATTCTTCTCAAAATTATCAAGGTAATCTCATTATTTGTTATACTTTGCTTGGGAAATTCTAATAATTTCTATATTATATGGATAATTCCATGAAGATAGAACTTACGAAGTTGGAGATGCAATTATTCTTTGGTATGGAATTGTAGCAATAGTACTCGCTTGGCCAGTGGGCTACTTTTTTGGATGGATCGTTTTTACTGCTAGGGAGTAACACAAAGAAAAAATTAAATTGGAGATAGATTATAAACAAATTACTGTATCAATATTATTTATTAATTTAGAGCAAATAATCTCCAGAAGCTGAAAAATTACATGCAGCCATATTAGATGAAGAGAATAGAATGTACACAACTTGGTATGTGTATTATGGATTTATGTTTCTGGCATTGTGGGCTTGCGTCCTAATAAGCATATGGATGATGAAGTTTGTAGATGCAGACACTTCAGCTTATTGGGTGGCCACAATATTTGTTATGATCTTCATGGATCAAATTGTGTTGGATTCAATTGTTCCTTTTCTACCATTGATTGGGGCTGTTCAAAAATATAGAGGATATTGGTATGACGCAGAATTGGCAAGTTTATGGAAACATCGTGAAGAATTATGATTTTACAATAAAACATAACATCATTCCATTTCATTTCCATTCTTTGTTCATAATGCAATAATTTACAGGTTACTTAGTTAAACAGTTTCGACTTTTCTCTTATGTCCAGCAGGATTTAATACAATATAAGCTGTTAAGACATTATATGTATATAATATCAAGCATATCTAAATGTTCTTCCAAATCTTTCCTTTTAATTCGAGCTACCATCAAATTCTCAGATTAATACGAAAAGAAACTGATTAATAAAAAATGAAACTTAAAATTCGATGATGGAATATACTTCTTCTCAAAGGTTTTAATTACACATTCACAGTTCAATTTCTATTTAAAAAAAGAACAATGTAATAAGGAACACTTGTCGTTTGTAATTGCACAGCAAAATTCAGAGTTGTGAATGAATTTAATTCAATTGATTAATTCCCCTTTAAATTTGCAAATTGATAACCGATCAATAAAATATTCCTATAAGATTAAAAGTAGACTTAGTTTAACACAAATTTCGTAGGATAATTTAATATCAATTTGTTGTATAAATAGGTTTAGCATTATTTCTAGGATTAAAAATGAAAGAGATTGAATAAAAGCAAATATATATAACAAAATTTGATTTAATAATATAAAAATGATGAATACGATAAATCAATCATCTGCATATCTGCATACATTAATATATGTTTCTTCTTACATTATTAGCAAATCGATTTATAGACTGTATAAAGAGAGTATTAACCAATTATTAAACTAGGATAATTTGGTGAAAGTAGTTCAAACTAAAAGAGAGGTCGATACTAAAGAAAAAGAATCAAGATTCTTTTGTTAGGATTTCCAACATTCTTATGCTTAATTCACAGTTACACAACAATGTATCAATCGTACAAGCTTGATTTTAAAACCCTTATTTAATGGAATAACAATTCCAAAGTTTGTATGGGAATTGCAATTTCATTTTACATGAGTTTTGTATTATATGGTGGACCTATTTACCATGAATTTTGGGTATCTCTATTTGATTCAAATTAGAACGGCAACTTAAAAAAGAAATTGGGCAAACTTTAATTCAATAAGTTTAGATGGGACTACTTTTCTAAAATAGTTGTGGTAATATAAACGATAAAATTTAGACTCCATTAATTGAAGAATTAATTTTTAGAGGATTTACGAATAATTCTTTCAATCCAGAGTACAAGAATAATCATTTTTATATGATATATTCAACTTTTCTTTATTTACTAGGTATATTAATAATATTATTAAAGTTCGTTTAATATTATTTGAGCCCAAATAATTGTCTGCAAATAAATGGAATTACGTTAAACAGATTGCAAAGTCCTTATCACTTGGAGTGTATCTGTCCTACGTTCTAGTTTAAACCGAAACATTGATAGCAGTTGTTATTAATCACGGCTGCATCAACTTTATGGGATCACCTAACATACAAGATTTACTAAAAGGCAATTATTCTCGCGAGTTGAGATTCAGTAATATTTTAGTTCTTATTGTAGAAATAATGAGGTTTTATTTCTTAGGATTTTTGGCTTTTCTCATTTTTTGTTTACTAGTATTATGAATTAAATTTATATGTAAATCAATCAAATAATTCATCAAAACTGTATAGAGACAATTTAATTAATGCGCTATTATCAATGAATGCAATGTGAGCAGCCCTTCCAATCATGGTATCCAAAGATCTACAAATATAAACTACAATACTTTCCGACTAATTCATAATTCACATCTAATCTATCAATCTTTTAATTAGATAGATTCTTCATGATATTATCGATCATTTTATTGATAATCATGGCATCCTTACTGCTTCCTTTTGGCCTTTATATTCTAGCTGATTCAAAAGGACTATAAGTATCTTAATAAGAACTCATGAGTGCAATATTTGTAAACCATCCTAAACCCTCATATGTCGACAATTTATAGAGGCAAGTCTCGAATGGGTTTGAAGAATCATTCAACGTTAACTAATTTAAGCAAATACATTTTTTCCATTTTCTTATGAACCATAGTCCCGTATCAACAACCTTACTCGATGATAATGTATAACTTAAGTGAGGACTTCCCAATGACAAGTAGGTAAACATTTTATCTTTATATTTACTCAAATGAGGTAATGCCGCTCTAATTATGATTCCTCCAAGTGAATGGCCTATAAAAGACAACTTAGAAAAATTGTCTTTTGGACACCATTCTTTAATCCACCTCTTTACTTCTAAGGCTAATTTCTCTCCCATTACTAATATGTCCGTATCTGTGTTATCTTCATTACATTTTGACAATAAAGTTAAATGATCAGGATATCTGATGGCCATGTTGTTTCTCCACAATCTCATATCATATGAGTTCCCTTAATATCCATGTACAAAAACAAGTAAATGAAGCCCTTTTACAGGTTTCAGTTAGAATTCTTATTTTCTTGACACATCCCTAAACACTATTGGATGAATTTTTGCTTCTGGGAATAAATCTAAATCCTCAATATTTAATGGTTCTAATTATTTGTAATAATTATTATTTCTGTATTATTTTGCCATCATTTTATGATTTTTCCCTAGCGAAATATCTGATTATGATAAATCCTCTACTGTTTGAACATGTTAAAAGATGCTCTCTCCCCATCTCTCTTTTATTTTTTGGGTGTACTCTTGTTCTAAGATTTTGGTCAAAGTATCAGCCATAAAGTTATGTGCATCTATAAACTAATACCAAACAACAAAAATTTTGGAGGATGTATGTTTAACCTCTAAAAATAATTAATTACAAAACTCTTCCTATAGTTAAACATTTGCTTTTAGTTCATCCATTCGTGCGCTATATTCAGAAAAATCCCTAAAATTTACAGATTTATTCAAGTATTGTAATCGCCCAAATTTATTTTGAATGTGTTCATCTGATATGCATTATTTTACGTTTGTCTAATAATAGCTTTCAAGTTATTCATGGATTTATAACAATATCTTATTATAGCCTGCATAAAACTCAGATACCAAATTCTGTTTAACTAATAGATATAATTCTTGAATTACATTTATTAGTTATGTTGCTCATAAATTATTCAAGAGTAAGATCGTTTTAATGATATTTAAAATCAACTAAAACTGAATGAATGGTTAATTTTAATTAGCAAAAATGAGATTCATCAAATTGACATGATACAAACTCTTTTATCAACTTTATATTGTGTAATCTACTTTCAAATTTTGCTACGCATTTTTAATATTGTTACAATTTATCCTATAATCAAATTTTATTATACTATTTTAAAGTCTTCTTGCGTTATTGTGCTAAGTTCACAAAACAACAGTTCTATAATACAATAAATATTATGAGGATCCATTTCAGGATAAGCTTAAACTTCTATTCTAAATACGCAGCCTTCATTTAAATCAACTATTTAATCGCAATATTTAATGATGAATGCTTTGCTGTAGAAAGTTGTGTCTAATAGTTTGTGTTATTCAACTAAAATATCATTAACTTAACTCTGGGCAAACTTTTTCTTTTCTACTGTCATATATGGCTATGCATATATTGTTTCAGATTAAGTTTAACTTTTTTAGAATATTGTAGTTTTTTAATTAATATACTCCTTAATGATAAAGGTCGACATTTCTAAATTCCTTTAAATGAACAAATATTTCAATAGTGCCACTGAGCATTATTAAATGATAAAATTAAATAAATATTAATAAATTAAAACACTTTTTTGATAAGAGATTTCAGTTCTACTTACTCTTTGAGTATGATGTGATTATTTAATGATTGGATAATCAGCTTTTATTCAAGGAAGAATATAGTGAGAATTTATCAAACAAATTTGTATGCTTCAATAAATAGTAGATTAATTATATACTATCAGGTAATTCAGTCAATTGATGATGCTTGTGCTGTCTTTAAATTGTCTCATACAACTACTGTATTGATTTATTAAAGCAACTTTAACACAAATTTAAAAACTTCTTAGTCAATATAATCTACTGATTCTTCAATGAGTTTTTAAGTTATTATTTATATAATCTTTTGCAGTATCACTATTTTTGAAAATAAACAATATATTCCCCTTTCTTTATTTCCTTATTCAATTCTTACTCAATTGACTAGATTTTGATTCCTGTCCAAGTTTTTATAGGTGCTCTTTCATGTGATTCAGAATCTGAGATTTAATGAATTAAAGGCTAAAAATATTTAAGCATCGCTTTAATAATATTTAATTTTCTATTTGGAAATATAAGTAAAACCATTCTTTTTGAATATTTATCAATTTGAATTAAATATAAAAATTTATATTAATTTCTGAGAATTCGATTTAGCGTAATCAAATGCTAATATTTCAGTTCAATATCACTAAAATACATTATGAAATAAAACCAAAGAAAATCAATTATAGTACTTGTAAAATATAATGAACTTAAATTTTCATGAAAATATTTCATCTTCACCTATTAATACTAGGTCTGATTATTCCTTTACAATTGTCGATTGCCTAAGGGAAATTTGCTCTGTCTAAGGTTCATATTATGAATTTAAATTCATATTTATTTCAATTATTTTTTCTGATTACAAATTGGTAAGATATTCATCATAATATTTTGTTATCATTTTCAATCTATTCTCTAGAATCTCAGACATATAAGGTAATTGCTATATTGCGCACTCTGAAATAATAGGAAAGACAGGATATTCTTTAGTAGATTTAGATATTTATTCATAGATAGGAATTTTGTAATTCTCATCAAATTATTTTCTCCATAAGTTCAATTTGTTAAAATCTTTATTTTATAAAATTTTTAGATCGCTAGATTAGATTGTCACGCTTTCTTATAGCAGAAACTTATTGAAATCACCAGAAACAGAATTATCTGTATAAATGAGAGCTATCAAATTTTTAAAAGCATTGATAATCATCTAATCTTCTTTAATAACTGTCTAATAGAGTTATAATATTAAATTGAAATGCTATGAGTCTAATTTTGAAATCAAAAATTTAACAGTGATCATATCGCATATCGTCACTAAAGTTAGGAGCTTATCATCTTATAAATATCATATAAATATTACATTTATGTTATTGACTATTCATAACTTTCAGACAAATAATCAAAGATTTTTTTACAACGTCAAATTCATCTAGAATAACTAAAGCTATTTCTGATTATGAAATTATATTATGTATTTGAATTAAGCAAGACTTAATCAATGGGTTAATAGTAATATGGTCAGCAATGATTAATTCTAACCACTTCTAAACACTTTTGACAATCTATATGGGTATCGTATCTCTTTATTCTTGAAGTAATTTATCGATTTGCGATTAATCATAATCCTCCAACAGTTTCATTTAATTTTCAAATTCTGGGTGCAATGAATTGTAAAAAAACTATTCCAAAGCTAATTCTAAAGTTGTAAATTGAGTTATTAATTTGCAAGACAATCTCTCAAATTATCTGATAGAAGATTCAGAATTATTGAAGTTTCCATCTAGATATAGTCGAAGTGACTGATTGATTGATTCAACTAATTCATTCATAAAAACAATAATTCCTTCATCAATTTACCAATTTGGTTGGAGATTATACTCTTTGAGCATCATATTTTCAACAAAGGTTTCATTCCGTTATTCAGGAAATCTATTATAAATTAAATAAAATACAATGGGGAATTAATGGGGAAAATCTATCCATAATCATTGGAGAGCTTTTTCAAAATTTGATTATTATATCTAATATATCACATTTGTGTACTCAATATAAATAAGCAACATTTCTTTCATCATCATTTAGGTCCAGATTAAATTTGGTGTGCTCCATTCTCTGCTAAAATTACTAAATATAGCTGTTTCATCTCCATCATCCAAAAAAAGCTAAATTTTCTTAAATTTTAGAATACTTCATATAGTTAATTAGGCAATAATTTGATGAGTCTATATGATTCTAATTAATCATCTGATTTTCTTAATTATCGATCTGCGTTTTGATATTCGTATTGTAAAAGATCCCTATAAAATAAAAATGCTTCCATTCTATCATTTTCATCTACGACATTCAACTAAATTTCAATTTATTATTATACTTTGAAAATGACTTCTAAAAGCACACTTGCAAAACCACTGGCTATCAAATGCATGCATTTCGCTTTATCTTTTACATCATACCTTTATCGAATTAATTGTAAAAACTTTTATAATATAGATTAATACTGCTCCTATAGATTTGTTCTCTTAATTTTTCCATTAGGTTCCAAGCTGCGTTCAATTCA